CACACACACACACACACTCACTCACACACACACACATACTCACTCTCACACACGCACTCTCACTCACACGCACACACGCTCTCACTCACACGCACACACACTCACTCTCACACACACACACTCTCTCACTCACACACACACATACTCACTCTCTCTCACACACACACACACACACACACACACACATGCTATACAGATAATGTAGAGTCGTGCATTAATGTGAGTGCTGACAGATATTATGGGAGCGGCTTGATGGAGCGCAGGAGACGCAGATAACTTGATCTTGACCCTTAAGACACTTTAATTAATGCTGTCACGTAGCAAATCTGTTCGAATATAAAATTTAATGAATTGCTGATTACATTGAAATAAAAATGTAAAATATTAGAAATCATGAATATAAATACTTGGGAATCATGTAAAAAATTTAAATAAAATAAAAATAGTGCACATTTCATTGATCTATTATAACATTTATGTAGTTTTGTTCGCTTGGCTGTTTCTTTATAAAAGTCCAGAAATGTGTCAAGTTTTTCGTCAGGTGTCTTCTTTAATTATATGACGTCATTACGTTGCTGTCTTGCCGCAGCCAATCGCTGCACTGCTGATCGCTCTCACTTATATTTAGACCACTCTGGCATTGTGATCACTTGAATAAACAGCTAAAAACCCCTCACTCATGAATCCTCAGCCGACTCTGCAGTGTTGGTGTGTTTAGTAACATCATGATGGCTGATTGGATGCAGTACAAGCACACTTGGGTTTTGTTGGTTAATCAATTAGCCTGTACACTGCAGGGGTCACCAGACTCGGTCCTGGAGGGCCGGTGTCCTGCAGAGTTTAGCTCCAACCCTAATTAAGCACACCTGAAGCAGCTAATCAAGCTCTTACTAGGTATACAGGCAGGTGTGTTGAGGCAAGTTGGAGCTAAACTCTGCTGGACTCTGGCCCTCCAGGATCAAGTTTGGTGGCCCCTGCTGTACAGTTTAGATGTTTGAAAACCGCCAGATTGACCCCAAAACCAATTATTACCCGCACAATCTAATTCAAAACCGCCCAATCTGGCAACACTGTCCGAGTTTTCCTTTGAACAGGACAGAGTGAATAGACTGGACATGATCTGTTGTCGTATGGAAACAGAGATATTACACAGGCCGTGCTGTCAGCTTCAGTCAGAGAAGTGTTAGTGTTTTCATCTGTTTGCAGCCTCATTGTTTGACATCAGTTCCACTGAGAGAAGGTTTCTCGGACTTCCCTGGAGCCTTCAAACACAGGGTTTTTGTTGTTGTGTGTATATATACATATATAAATCAAGTCTGCTTCAGGGTTTCTCAACTCTGACTCTCGAGGCCCACTTTCTTGCAGAGTTTAGCTTCAACCTGGATCAAACTGACCGAACCTTCTAGTGATCCTGAAGAGCTTGAAGAGCTTGTTCAGCTGTGTGTGATTAGGGTCGGAGCTGAGCTCTGCAGGAAAGTGGATCTGGAGGGCCAGAGCTGAGAACCCCATGTTCTTGATGCATCTGTCCTCAGGTCGAGCTTCATTCTTCACTGTAATAGTAACCCAGTGAAACTGAAACGCTTCTGTATTAAACACTCAAGTCTGCCCTTTTTCTCATCATGCTCAAAAACACAAAAACGTTATACTTAATTTCAAGTTCAGTTTTACTCTACACATTAAGTCCCATGCAAAGCATGCTGGGAACTGAAGTTTATTACGTCAACATCAAAAATCATTTTTAAGTGATTGGTTCACATTCACCCTTCATCGTTTAATTTAATACTCCATTTTTGGAAGAGAAACACACATTTGTTGAGTAAATCGGACAGTCTGTGCCAAAATGTTCCTTCGTGTAGGTCATTATAATAATTTTTGGTTTAACTTTACCATAAACAAAAGATTTGTTAGTCATGCTTAATTTAGATTAGGATTATTTTCTTTAAAAACCACAATGGTATTGTTGATGTCTTTTTAAAATATGCATCAAATGAAATTGGTGGGATCTCATTGAATAAAGATACATTTTACTCATCATAATAAAGCACTTAGCTCTGTTAATCTGGGAATTGAGACAGAATGACACACTTTAGCTTTGAAGGGGTAACGCATTACAAGTAACCAGAGTTACGTAATCAGATTACTATTTTCAAGTAACTAGTAAAATAATGCATGGCTTTTTAATTTACAAGAAAATAGCTGTGAAAATAACCAATGTCTTTGCTGCTGACCTTCGATGATCCACTTCAACCATACTAATGAGCAAAAATGGCTTTAGATGAACATAACATTTGTGTTTCATTTTTTGTATTGATGAAGAGAGCTGAACTTTCTTCTGCGTCCTATTCTTCATGCGATCCAGAACAGCAGCACGGCTGAAGGTTTGTTTGAGCTGCATCCTCTAGATGTGAATTTATATTTATAGGCTTATTCATTTCACTTTTGGTTTTTTACATTTGCCAAAAATAGAACTATATTAAGAACAAACAAGCAAGAAAAAGTAGAATGCAAAAGTAACATATTGCATTACTTTCCATAAAAAGTAACTAAGTAATGCAATTAGTTTCTTTTTTTAGGAGTAACGAAATATTGTAATGCATCACTTTTAAAAGTAACTTTCCCCAACACTCATATTAGAAAGCACCACAAGAAAAGCTGCTTTAGAGTCATAAATTTAAGATTTATTATAACAAAACCAGGAACTGTTTGTGTGGTTGGTTTCAGTATAATTCCTTACAGATGTACTGTTTTGCATTACAGGACTTGACACAGTCATGCTGGTGTGAGGAGCGGATGAGTGTGTGTGTGTGTGTGTGCGTGTGTGTGTGTGTGTGAGAGAGTGTCTGTGCGTGTGTGCGAGTGTGTCTGCCTGTGTGTGTGCACATGAGTCTGTCTGTGTGTGTGTGAGTGTGTGTGTGTGTCTGTCTGTCTGTCTGTGTGTGTGTGTTTGTGAGTGTGTGTGTGTGTGAGTGTGTGTCTCTGTGTGTGTATGTGTGTGTCTGTGAGTGTGTGTGTCTCTGTGTGTGTGTGTGTGTGTGTGTATGGCTCATTGATCAGCAAGTGACGACAGCACAGTTCATTTACAGGTGGTGTGTGTGTGTGTATATGCTTCTGGTACATATACATCTATTGGCATATATGCATAAAGGGTAATCTCATTCTAGACACACAGTTCCCTTAAAAAGCATTGGTATACAATGTTTTTCTTATTTACAATCATTGGAAAGAGAAAAAAAATCACCATTTCTCGCAGAGAAGATTAGTAAAAAGTGACGAAGTCACCATAAAAGAGTAAGCAACTCCTAGGAGTTAGTCTTTCAAATTTCCACTAAATTTCTAGTTTTTATACAGGCACGAAGCCTTGATTTACTGAAGAGATACAGTATTTCTTTAAGTGCCCTATCTACAACAGTTAAGCGTGGTTTTACTAGTGTGTACCGTACAACACAATCTCCTGTTTTTAAGTCTGTTGTAGCTTCTCTCGCATAAAAAGATATGGTAACTAAAGTACGAAATCAAAATGTCCAGCGTCTTGTCGTTGGTAATGACAGTTAACATCCCAAGACTAGTGTTGAATTATATAGGTTTCGTGTTTAAGGTAAATAAAAGTGAAACAGTCAGTGATCAGTAGTGAAACACTTAAACGGGTGAGGCACGGGTCACGCTCGCCTTCTCTTAAAGGCGTCGCAGGTCTTCATATTAGTTGACTGCAGTAAAGCTGCGAGCAGAAGATGCTCCGCTCTGTTGACTTCATTCAGTCTTCATTTACTCAGCCTCACATTGCAGCAAGTGCATTATTAGTGCAAGAAACACTTTAGTTTGGGGTGAGGGTCTGCACGTAGGGTTGGGCGATTTTTCTGTTTTATTGATTCATTTGAATGTAATGTTTCTCCGGGTTTGAATCAAAATATTAGCAAATGTTACAATTAGACACACTGACAATCCGCCAGTGCTAACAGCTGATAAAGCGCGTGACGCGCTCTTTGAAGGAGTGTAACATATTGCAAATATTCACACAGAATTTGTTTCTGCGTTGAAAACACGAGGCACTGCAGTGGAACAGGAAAAACACAAGGTTAAGAGACGCGAGTTGAGCTGCTTTTAACTCGAGCACCACATTCTTAGAATGCCATTTCATGTGCGTAATGCTGCAAAAGATGCGAGCGCATTGGTCAAAGCGCAGGTTTACATATAAAAACACTGGAAAAGCAGAAACCTGTGCAGAACTACTGCTGTATGTCTGATATTGGATTTTTGCACATTGCTGACAGACTGAATCGTGTGGTACACTTGAAAAAGAGCTTTCTTTAAATGCATGGTTTTGCAAGTTTGTAAGAAAGTGAATGTTACTTGAATCATGTAGTTACGTTTTTAAGTTGACTAGTTATCAAGATTTATCTTTTTGCTGTATCGCCCAGCCCTACGTTCAAGAGCTATGGACAAGATCAGGCTGAGTAGATGACGACAGAATGCAGCGCCTGCTTCAGAGCGGCGTGTCGTAGCAGTCCGCAGGTCGCTCGCTCTTGTCCTGCTGATGTTGTTTCATGATCTCCTTCACCTCCTCCTCCAGCTCCGGAGGGATGATGAACTGGTCGTCGGGGTCGGGTTGAGAGGGCGCCGTGAAGTAACCCCCAAGTTTCTTTGAAGGAGCTTCAGCCGCCAGCTCAATCAGGTTGTGGCTCTGCTCCTGCGGCGCCACCGAGCCGTTTCCCCTTCGCTTCCCCAAGGTCTTGCTCCAAGCGTCAGCTCCCACGGGATTCCCGGCCTCCTCCGGAAGCTTCTCCGGGGTGCAGGGTGGAGGAGGTGGAGGCAGCAGACAGTGGACATCGGCTTCCACTTCCACCTGACTGCCGTTGGAGAAGACGCCGGCGATGGGCTCCTCGTCCTCGCTGTCCAAGCCATTGTCTGAGAGCGCGCTGGAGAAGGTGGCGCTGGAAAGCTGCCTCTGGAAGGAGCTTCCGGAGTTGGGAGCGAGGTGGAGCGTGCAGCAGGGGAGGCGCGGGTTCAGCTGCAGCTGCGGCGGATGAAGGTGGAGCTGCGCCTCCTGCAGCAGGAGCTGCGGCTCGTCTGAGGACGCGGTGGATCCCACTTCGGAGCTCATCTCGGAAGCACTGACCTCGGAGCTGATCTCGCTGCAGGAGGCCGGGTACAGGCTGGGGCTCGGCGGGGGCTGCGGCGGTGCATGCATGCTTCCGGAGCCGGGCTCAGCAGACGCCGCACAGCAGCAACAACAACAGTCTTCAGCCACATTGAGCTGCACCACCACGGCGCTGAGGCTATCGGTGCAGCCGTATGATTGCGCCAGCGTGCACAGCTTCTTAGCGGCCGCCAGCGCGTCGGGAACCTTCCGTACGGCTTCCACCGCCTCGCTGGGGTCCAAGACTTCAAACAGACCTCTGCTGCCCAGGATGAAGAACTCGTCTCTGGGGGTCAGCGGGAGCGTGGTGACGTACGGACACGGCAAGACTGCGGGGTAGAGGAACGAATAGCCCATGATGCGTGTGGAGTCTGTTATGCCGTTCACTTTGTTGTCCTGTTGGAGAAGGGGAAATCGCCACAGTGGCGTACACAGTGCTCAGTGTAGTTATTCTAATAATAATAAAGCAATAAGCCCTGTGAAGCCGTGGTTTACAGTGAATTTATAACAGCTAAGGGGCGTCGTACGACGTCATGGGGTGTTAATCACCCCATGATTTACTCACCCTCAAGCCATCCTAGGTGTGCAAGACTTTCTTCTGTCAGACGAATCCAGTCGGAGTTATATTAAAAAACGTCCTGGCTCTTCCGAGCTTCATAATGGCAGTGAATGGGTGTTATTTTTCAACAGTCCAAAAGAAGTCCAATAAAGCACATCCATCCGTAATAAAAAAAAGTGTCCCACACGGCTCCGGGCGGTGAATAAAGGCCTCCTGTAGCGAAATATCCATATTTAAAACTTTATAAACAGTAATCCGCTAACTGTCGTACACGCGTTCGTACACAAGAGGAGACTGGCTTTGCTTTGCTAAAGTAAGGAAACTTTGCTTCCTTTGCTCCTGTAAACAAACGTCGTTCCTCGCGAGACTAGAATATTCTCAACAGGGCTTACGCTACGACTACGTTATCCACAGTCAGCGGAAGCTAGAGATTACGCTTTATAAAGCTTTAAATATGGATATGTTTATTACACAAATGCATTGATTCGCTACAGGAGGCCTTTATTCACATCTGGAGCCGTGTGAGGCACTTTTTACTACGGATGGATGCACTTTATTGGACTGTTGAAAAATAACACCCATTCACTGCCATTATAAAGCTCGGAAGCTCGTTTTTTAATATAACTCAGATTGTATTCGTCTGACAGAAGAAAGTCTTGCACACCTAGGATGGCTTGAGGGTGAGTAAATCATGGGGTCATTTTCATTTTTGGGTGAACTATCCCTTTGAAGTAATTACATTTTGATTCAAGAGACAGTTTTTTTTTTTTATAACGTGCACAGATGAATAAGTGAATCTCATGTTGACTTCAGTGCCGGTGCAGAGCGTTGCTGGTACCTCAGTGATGATGGCTTTATGCTGCTGCACGCGGTTGTGTTCCTCTTTAATGCTGATGTTGTGCAGCAGTGACAGCGGAAGCGCCTTGCCGTCGCGGCACAGCACCGCCTGACACTTGCCCACATTAGCGGCGGTGAGGGTGAAGCAGCCGGCGGGGTCAGTGGGGTCGTGCCGGATGTGACAGAGCGCCGCCGAACCGCCCAGCTTCTGCCCTGCTGTGCCCAACTTCCTGTTCAACCCAGAGCGGGCGGACGGACAGACATACTTATTAGGGCCGTCAAGTGATTAACATTTTTAATCGAATTAATTACATGTGCCAATTAACTGACGTTAAGCAATTAATGGCTGAGAAATTAATTAATTATTGTGTTATATGAGAAACGCATTGAGTAGACATTATTACAAAATAATAGCTTTAGAAAGAAATATTTTGATCCAACATTGCATAGATAATAAATAGGATTTTTAAAAAGTGAATATTGAAATGCTACTTTAAATATGAAACTAAAGTGCCAGTAGGTGGCCCGAGTCACTGTCTTAATGAGCGAGTCATTGAATCATTCGTTTAAACAGCTGATTCATTCAGAACTGAAGCAAGCGACACTGAATCATCGACTCACTTGGCTTTGTTTGGAACTGTTTGTTTTCAAAATTGAAACAAAATTTGACAATATAGTGTTTAATACAAATTTAATACAATATTAACTTCTAGTTTATTGAACTGTTGTATAAATCAATATGACATCTGCAGTGGTGCTGGTGTGATATTGCTAAACTATATCATATATACAGTTATTAATATACAGTTTTTAATGTTTTTTTTAAAGAATTCTCTTCTGTTCAACAAGCCTGCATTTATTTGATCAGAAATACAGCAGAAGCAGTAATATTGTGAAATATTCTTACTATTTAAAAAAACAGCTTTCTATGTAAATATATGTTAAAACATAATGTATTCTTGTGATGCGCAGCTGTATTTCAGCATCATTCCTCCAGTCTTCAGCGTCACGTGTTGTACATTTTTTTCAGGATTCTTAGAAAGATCCAAAGATCAGCATTTATCTGGAATAAAATCTTTTGTAACATTATACACTATACCATTCAGAAGCTTGGAGTCCGTATCTTTTTTTTTTGGGGGGGGGGGATGATAGAAATTAATACTTTTATTTAGCAAGGATGCTTTAAATTGATCAAAAGGGATGATAAAGACATCTATAATATTACAAAAGATTTCTATTTCAGATAAATGCTGTTCTTCTGAACTTTCTATTCATCAAAGAAACCTGAAAAAATTATACTCAGCTGTTTTCAACATTGATGATAATCAGAAATGTTTCTTGAGCAGCAGATCAGCATATTATACTGATTTCTGAAGATCATGTGACACTGAAGACTGGAGGAATGATGCTGAAAATACAGCTGCACATCACAGAAATACATTACAGTTTAACAGATATTCACACAGAAAACAGTTATTTTCAATAGTAAAAATATTTCACAATATTACTGATTTGCTGTATTTCTGATTAAATAAATGCAGGCTTGGTGAGCAGAAGAGACTTCTTTAAAAAAAAAAAGTTTTCGGCTGGTAGTGTAAGCCCTACTTTCTTGAATTTTATGCTCATCACTGCATTCTAATAGACTCGTCCTGCATCATGTTCATCAGACACGAACTACAGGTCTGGACGGGGCGCTGCATTAAACGCCTTAATCATTTAATAATTTTTTCCCGATAATTAATTAACGTGTTAAATCAACAGCTCTAATATTTAGTAGTCCTCAAGCGTCCTTCTTTAGCACTAATTACGTGTGCATTACCTCTGCATGACGAGGAAGGTGTTGGTCATGTAGTCTTCCTCGCTCTTGGTCCTCTGCAGCTCCTCGGCCAGTATGTCGTTCATGGTGCACTGCAGTAAATACGGCACCTCCACGTTCCTGTCTCCGTCAAACACGCCGTACAGAGCCTCTCTGCTGCCGCAGAAGCTGTTCACCGACAGCGCCGCCACACACAGTCTGTAGACACACACACACACGATCACTGACCGACACACACTGTCTGTAGACACACACACACACGATCACTGACCGACACACACAGTCTGCAGACACACACACACACACACACACACAAGCTCACTGACCGACACACACAGTCTGCAGACACACACACACGATCACTGAGACCGACACACACAGTCTGCCGACACACACACACGCTCACTGACCGACACACACTGTCTGCCGACACACACACACACACTCACTGACCGAAACACACAGCAGCTCCGAGCGCTGAGATGCACAACACACTCACTTGTTTTTGACGCCTGAGGCTTCGGTGTAGCCGTGACTCCAGACAGCCGGCCCTCCTGCCGCCTCATTGGCTGAGAACGAGGAAGGGGGCGGGTCGATCCGGAAACAGCGGATGTTACTGAAAAGATGTGGAAGTGATTATTAAATGGCACACTTCTACACAAACATGGTCCAAACAAACACTTCACAAGTCAGTAAAATGACTTTGGCGAACAAATAAAACAATGAAAATCAGTGGCTGGTAAACTTTTGAGGTGAATTTAGTGTCAAGCCACTGAAACCGAACCAGCATGATGCTGTGCTTTTAGTTCAACTACAGCTAAAACAAACATTAATAAAAATTATACAGACAAAAAAAAAAAATGTCCAAAACACAAAATATTTACTAAAACTTTATAATTAAAATGTATTCAAAACGATTCAAAACATTAATAACAAACTACAACGTGTCTCAAAGGTCCTAAAATAACACTGGGCCAAATGAAGACAATTCAAAGACATTATTATATCAGATTATGTCAAAAGCATTGGACAGATGTTAGAAAAAATGGCTTGACAGTATAAAACTTTTTTTTTGTTGTTGCTTTTTTATTATTATTTGTGCATCATTTTTGTAATTACACTAAACTAATGTGTTAATATGACAACACAAATTGAAGAAAAAAACCTGACAGAAGTGTGAAACATTACTTGAGCTGCTCGAGGGTCTTGTGGTCCAGATTCAGACGCAGGTTTCCCGTCAGATCCAGCTCTTGGAGTTTAGGAGGTAGACTGTCAGGTAAGGTGATCTCACGCAGCTCGTTACAGCTCAGATCCACACACTACACACACACACACACACACACACACACACACACACACACATATGTTAACGGCACACAGGCTATGGAGCTCACTGCTCCGAAATCTATAACATCATTTACATAACCACAGATTAAACATCACACAGCACGGGACAGTAAACAGTTCTGCTGTACTGAAATACTCAAAAAAAAGTGTGAGTGTGTGTGAGTGTGAGTGTGTGTGTGTGTGTGTGTGTGTGTGTGTGTGTGTGTGTGTGTGTGTGTGTGTGTGTGTGTGATGTGACCTTCATCTCGGTGAGCTGCAGGACTTCTGGGAACACCCCGATGCAGTTGGAGTGAGCTGCTAGTGTGTGCATGCGTCTGCAGTTCATGATGGTGGTGGGCACCGCCTTCAGCCTGTTCCCACTCAGGTCCAGCTCCTCCAGTTCCTCCAGCTTGGCCATTTTACTGCAGAGCAGAGCGAGGGAATATTTATTTGATGAACATATTCATTCAGAAACGTCCATGTCCCTGTGGTCCAATGCTGGCTCGATAAACACTGAGAGGAAGAGGAAGTGACAAACCACACGGAGACGGTCTAGAAAAGATCAGCGGGACTCCAGAAAGAACACAAATGTTCATATTTTAATATGAAGCAGTGTCATAAATGTTAGTAAAATTAATCAATCATCAGTGTCAGTTTGTGAATAAAAATTCAAATCAATTTCAATGTGAGATTTGCCATAATTGCTGTGCATTTTAAGGAATGGAAAAGATTTTGTTGAAAAAAATGGAAACCTTTAAAAGCCTTTAAAAACCTGAAGAATCCTTTAAAAATAACTTTCACATATAACACCAATATGACAATAATGACTGGATAAAAAAAGTGTGTCAAAAATAAAGCCATCCTACGATATTATTAAATTAAACTGTTAAAATACATTAAAATGTGTGGCCATCAGGCTGTTTTATACTGCAAAAGAGACAAATCAATGAAAAGAAACATTGTATTCTTCAATCATGACTAGTAATGTTGATGATAATAATGATTATGTGCATGAAGTTCTTGCCTGGTGACTGTTGTTACACTTTGCTGCATGATATTAATTATTAAAATCAAATCTTTATGTAATCTTGGTCAAACTGTATTGAATTCAAAAGATCCTATCACTTTATCTTCACTGCAGCTGCTGTCATTTCTTAAACATCAATCATGTAAGCGTGAAATCAAAGCAGGGGTTAGGACTTCTTTTTTGAAGTTGTGAAATATAACTGATGGAAATACACTGATGTATTCATATGTTTACATAAATAAGAGATTTCACAAATGTCTTATTTCCACTAAATGACGCTGCGGGTCAAAAGCTAATTTGTCATGCTGTTTCAGGCATGTGCTAAAAACAGGAGAATAATTGAATGTTGTCACCTGGCTGGGAAGGTCTGCAGGTGATTGTAGGCCATGTGCAGGATCCTCAGGTGTGTGTGTCCGGTCAGCTGCGGCACACACCTGTCGGTCAGGTGGTTGTTGGTCAGGTACAGCTCCTGCAGGACGCTGCTGCTCTCCTCTGAAAGGCTGGACGGCGGCAGATTCTCCAGCTTATTAGCTGATGCGTTCAGACACCGCAAACTACACACAAATCACATGATATTCAGAGCCAGCTGACACAGAAGCTTCTCACTCTGAATGAAGAACGAGATTAACATTCAACATGTACTCCTTTCTTCATTCAACACAGTGTGTGTGAGAGAGAGTGTGTGTGTGTGTGTGAGAGGGAGCGTGTGAGTGTGTGTGTGTGTGTGTGAGAGAGCGAGAGTGTGTGTGTGTGTGTGTGTGAGAGAGCGAGAGTGTGTGTGTGTGTGTGTGTGAGAGAGCGAGAGTGTGTGTGTGTGTGTGTGTGAGAGAGCGAGAGTGTGTGTGTGTGTGTGTGTGAGAGAGCGAGAGTGTGTGTGTGTGTGTGTGTGAGAGAGCGAGAGTGTGTGTGTGTGTGTGTGTGAGAGAGCGAGAGTGTGTGTGTGTGTGTGTGTGAGAGAGCGAGAGTGTGTGTGTGTGTGTGTGTGAGAGAGCGAGAGTGTGTGTGTGTGTGTGTGTGAGAGAGCGAGAGTGTGTGTGTGTGTGTGTGTGAGAGAGCGAGAGTGTGTGTGTGTGTGTGTGTGAGAGAGCGAGAGTGTGTGTGTGTGTGTGTGTGAGAGAGCGAGAGTGTGTGTGTGTGTGTGTGTGAGAGAGCGAGAGTGTGTGTGTGTGTGTGTGTGAGAGAGCGAGAGTGTGTGTGTGTGTGTGTGTGAGAGAGCGAGAGTGTGTGTGTGTGTGTGTGTGAGAGAGCGAGAGTGTGTGTGTGTGTGTGTGTGAGAGAGCGAGAGTGTGTGTGTGTGTGTGTGTGAGAGAGCGAGAGTGTGTGTGTGTGTGTGTGTGAGAGAGCGAGAGTGTGTGTGTGTGTGTGTGTGAGAGAGCGAGAGTGTGTGTGTGTGTGTGTGTGAGAGAGCGAGAGTGTGTGTGTGTGTGTGTGTGAGAGAGCGAGAGTGTGTGTGTGTGTGTGTGTGAGAGAGCGAGAGTGTGTGTGTGTGTGTGTGTGAGAGAGCGAGAGTGTGTGTGTGTGTGTGTGTGAGAGAGCGAGAGTGTGTGTGTGTGTGTGTGTGAGAGAGCGAGAGTGTGTGTGTGTGTGTGTGTGAGAGAGCGAGAGTGTGTGTGTGTGTGTGTGTGAGAGAGCGAGAGTGTGTGTGTGTGTGTGTGTGAGAGAGCGAGAGTGTGTGTGTGTGTGTGTGTGAGAGAGCGAGAGTGTGTGTGTGTGTGTGTGTGAGAGAGCGAGAGTGTGTGTGTGTGTGTGTGTGAGAGAGCGAGAGTGTGTGTGTGTGTGTGTGTGAGAGAGCGAGAGTGTGTGTGTGTGTGTGTGTGAGAGAGCGAGAGTGTGTGTGTGTGTGTGTGTGAGAGAGCGAGAGTGTGTGTGTGTGTGTGTGTGAGAGAGCGAGAGTGTGTGTGTGTGTGTGTGTGAGAGAGCGAGAGTGTGTGTGTGTGTGTGTGTGAGAGAGCGAGAGTGTGTGTGTGTGTGTGTGTGAGAGAGCGAGAGTGTGTGTGTGTGTGTGTGTGAGAGAGCGAGAGTGTGTGTGTGTGTGTGTGTGAGAGAGCGAGAGTGTGTGTGTGTGTGTGTGTGAGAGAGCGAGAGTGTGTGTGTGTGTGTGTGTGAGAGAGCGAGAGTGTGTGTGTGTGTGTGTGTGAGAGAGCGAGAGTGTGTGTGTGTGTGTGTGTGAGAGAGCGAGAGTGTGTGTGTGTGTGTGTGTGAGAGAGAGAGAGAGAGTGTGTGTGTGTGTGTGTGTGTGTGTCTGACCTCTCTGATTTGAGGAAGAGGTTGCAGGGAAGCTCTGTGAGCTGATTGTGCTGCAGGTCTAGCACCTCCACCGCTGGACGCTCCACACGCTCCGGCAGACGCTTCAGCTGGTTATGACCCGCCAGGATCTTCCTCAGACTCACACTGCACAGCAGCCTGAGGACGTCAAACACACATTGATGAACTCACAGCGCTGCAGCAGAGACATAGCTGACGCACTCTGCACGCTTATATGCTTAAGCAGAAACAGTAGCACACAGCTATTTCTGCTTACAGCTCTTAAAATCTCTCATAGAATGATTGTGCATGTGTGCTATCATTTCACTGACCATATTTCAGTAAAATCCTCCATGTGAGGCGAGTAGCAACATTTCTTACTTTTACAGAACTAATAAATGCGAGTAGCGTGATCAATCACTCTTCTGTGTTTCTTGTTTTGCATGAAAGCATCTTCTGAATGAATCAGTGTAAATGTAGTAATGTGTTTCTGTGTTCAGAGAAGTGAATCTGTTCACGTCTGATCTGTGCTTTCTTCACAATCTCTTCTCGCAGTGGACTGTAACAGTGCAGATTAAGAGGAGTACTGGAGAAGTCCTGCAGACGTCTGTCATTTCACAGGAATATCCAGCAAGACAGTCTTAGGGCCCTATAAAATCTGTTTGACTTTTTCCCCATATTTTGTGTTTCTCATTTTCATTTCTCTAGATTCCATTTTAATGGTTTAATCAAATTTTAACAATAAAAAAGCACGTCTAATCACCTGAATTTTTTATTTTTTTTTTACAAAACTTTAACAATCAACTCATTTACAACTACAAATGTAATCAATTAAAATTTTAACAATTTAACAATATTTTTTTGGCAAACATAGTGTGGCATAACAGAGGTTTACTACTTAAATTAAAATGTACATTCTGCGTTATACAGTAAACTGCTTTATTATGACTGGATTCTGTCTGTGTTTTCCACATTGTGGACATTATACGGCCCTATATTTTGATTACAATTATAAACTAAAAAATTGATTTTACATTTCATGCTGATTTTAAATGTCGTGATTCTTTCCCTTTTTATACAAAACAGCGATTTACAGACAATTATCATTAATTATTATTTCCATCCATGATGGCGAGATGCCAAACTGTTGCTATGGTGATCACTTTTGTCCATCAACAGGAGTGAGATGCGGTTGTAGCTGCATATACACACACACACACACACACACACACACACACACACACACACACCCTCACACACAGACAGCCACACACACACTCACTAACAAACACACACACACACACACAAAAACACACACACACACACACACTCACACACACACTCACACTTACACTCACAATCACACCCACTAACAAACACGCACACACACACAAGCACACACACTCACACTCACACACACTCACAATCACACCCACTAACAAACACACACACACACACTCACTAACAAACACACACACTCACAAACAAAAACACACACACACACACACACTCACACACTCACACACACTTACACTCACAATCACACCCACTAACAAACACGCACACACACACAAGCACACACACTCACACTCACACACTCACACAATCACACCCACTAACAAACACACACACACACACTCACTAACAAACACACACACTCACAAACAAAAACACACACACACACACACACTCACACACACACTCACACTTACACTCACAATCACACCCACTAACAAACACGCACACACACGCACACGCACACGCACTCGCACCCGCACCCGCACACGCACACGCACCCGCACCCGCACCCGCACCCACACCCACACCCACACTCACACTCACACTCACACACTCACACTCACACACACACTCTCACACACAGACACACACACACACACACACACACACACAGAGAGAGAGACACACACACACACACACACACACACACACACACTCACACTCACACTCACACACTCACACTCACACACACACTCTCACACACAGACAGACACACACACACACACACACTCACTAACAAACACACACACTCACACTCACTAACAAACACACACACTCACACTCACACTCACACACACACTCACACTCACACTCACACACACACTCACACTCACACTCACACTCACACTCACACACTCACACTCACACTCACACTCACACACACCCACACCCACACTCACACCCACTAACAAACACACACACACACACACACACTCACCACGGAGGAAGCTCAGCGATGTGATTGTGACTGACGTCTAGAACCTCCAGCTTCCTGCTGTCACTCAGCCAATCAGGAAGAGCCTTCATGCAGTTCCTGCGAGAGAGCAGATGGGACATTCGTGTCATGATGTGGGCTCATCTGCAGTGATTTGACTATCACATGATATCAAACGCACCTGGAGATGTCCAGGTATGTGAGGCTGGAGGCCGCAGGACTCATGTGCAGCTCTTGCAGCTCTGGGGACAGAAAGCGTGAGCGTCAGTGGAGACCAGGCTGTGTGTGTTCATGTGAGCAGCCAGTGATGCTGCGTCTGTACCATTGCTGGAGGCGTAGAGAGCCTTGAGCGCGCAGCCACGCAGACGCAGACGCCTGATGCGGTTCCTCTGACAGTGCAGCACCTCCAGCCGAGGGAAGACAGACGCGTCCAGCTCACTCAGACAGTTGTCTCTCACATCCAGCTGTGTCACGTGACGCAGAAACTCTGGCTCGTCCGGCAACACAGCGGAGATCTGATTCAGACTGATGAGACAGAGAAACAACTCACTGCATTCACTGCACACTGAGATCTCATCCATCAACACTGTGAAGATACTCAATCATATTTCTCTGAATGACCAACATGATCAAACTCTGCTGTTTCACACTCGATCTACTGCATGTCTTCTGTCTCTGATTGAGAGTTTAAGTCAAAGCTCTTTTAGTGTAACTGCTTCAGCTGGAGCTTCTCGTGTCAGATCTTGACTGGTTTTGATCAAGTAAAGGTCAGAATAACGTCAGTAATATCTCCAGATGAACTCTTACTGCACTGAAGCAGCTCAGCTTTACTTGATTCTCCATCAATCATGTTTTAGAGTCTCAAATCTGATCCTCAGGATCTTTTGAGGAGCGTTTGTTTCCAGAAGCTTTACTTTCACTGTTCCTCAGCGGAGGAATGATCTTCACAAGCCTCCAGAACATCTCACATCTTCTGAGGAGCCTTTATTTCTTCAGCTCTCAATCACTGCATTATATGTTTGGAGCATTTCACTCTCATCTCACTGAGACAGATTACTGGAGATACTCACACTCACACTCACACACACACTCACACTCACACTCACACACACACTCACACTCACACTCACACACACCCACACCCACACTCACACCCACTAACAAACACACACACACACACACACACTCACCACGGAGGAAGCTCAGCGATGTGATTGTGACTGACGTCTAGAACCTCCAGCTTCCTGCTGTCACTCAGCCAATCAGGAAGAGCCTTCATGCAGTTCCTGCGAGAGAGCAGATGGGACATTCGTGTCATGATGTGGGCTCATCTGCAGTGATTTGACTATCACATGATATCAAACGCACCTGGAGATGTCCAGGTATGTGAGGCTGGAGGCCGCAGGACTCATGTGCAGCTCTTGCAGCTCTGGGGACAGAAAGCGTGAGCGTCAGTGGAGACCAGGCTGTGTGTGTTCATGTGAGCAGCCAGTGATGCTGCGTCTGTACCATTGCTGGAGGCGTAGAGAGCCTTGAGCGCGCAGCCACGCAGACGCAGACGCCTGATGCGGTTCCTCTGACAGTGCAGCACCTCCAGCCGAGGGAAGACAGACGCGTCCAGCTCACTCAGACAGTTGTCTCTCACATCCAGCTGTGTCACGTGACGCAGAAACTCTGGCTCGTCCGGCAACACAGCGGAGATCTGATTCAGACTGATGAGACAGAGAAACAACTCACTGCATTCACTGCACACTGAGATCTCATCCATCAACACTGTGAAGATACTCAATCATATTTCTCTGAATGACCAACATGATCAAACTCTGCTGTTTCACACTCGATCTACTGCATGTCTTCTGTCTCTGATTGAGAGTTTAAGTCAAAGCTCTTTTAGTGTAACTGCTTCAGCTGGAGCTTCTCGTGTCAGATCTTGACTGGTTTTGATCAAGTAAAGGTCAGAATAACGTCAGTAATATCTCCAGATGAACTCTTACTGCACTGAAGCAGCTCAGCTTTACTTGATTCTCCATCAATCATGTTTTAGAGTCTCAAATCTGATCCTCAGGATCTTTTGAGGAGCGTTTGTTTCCAGAAGCTTTACTTTCACTGTTCCTCAGCGGAGGAATGATCTTCACAAGCCTCCAGAACATCTCACATCTTCTGAGGAGCCTTTATTTCTTCAGCTCTCACTCACTGCATTATATGTTTGGATCATTTCACTCTCATCTTACTGAGACATGTTACTGGAGATATAGAGCGACCACTGATATTCAGATCATTTTATGTCAGTATCTGCTGCACTGTTAGAAAGATCTCACTGATTTACATTACAAGCAGCAGAATCTCATCATAGAAATATCAGCAGCAAATTGCTCAGTTTCAGTCTCTGAATAAAATCTAGCAGTTTTTCCCTCCATATTCTCACTATATTAGACTATATGAGCCATAAAAGCCTGATGAATCAGATATGATATATATATATAAACAAAACATACGCAATTTTTTAATATATTTTTTCTATTAATGTGTTACAGGGATTTTACAGTTGGTTCAGTGTGAAGCCTGCAGTAATAATCCAGCACTATCTGCTGTGTGTGTGTGTGTGTGTGTGTGTGTGTCTGAGTGTGTGTGTGTGTGTGTGCGAGTGTGTGTGAGTGCGAGTGTGTGTGTGAGTGTGTGCATGTGTGTGTGCGTGCATGCGTGTCTGAGAGAGTGTGAGTGTGTGCATGTGAGTGTGTGCGTGTGTGTGTGTGTGTGTGTGTGTGTGTGTGTGTGTGAGAGTGTGTGTGTGTTCTCACCGCAGGTCGATGTGTTTGAGCGTCAGCAGACGGAAGGCCTGCAGCATCAGCACACACACTTTATTCCCAGCCATGCAGAGCCTCTCGACAGCGGGCAGCTGCTCCAGCACCGACGGCACCTGTGTGAACTCATTGAAGGACAGACCCAGATAGACCAGCCGCTGCAGACGACCCAGCTCCACTGGGAGAGCAGACAGCAGATTCCCGTCCAGAACCAGCGTCTGCAGACTGACACACATCAACACCACCACTGTCACCACAGACTGCACTGCTTCTGCTTTAGTGTTACTGCAGTGAAGCGGTGTGAACTGTCCAGCAGGTGGCAGCAGTGCAGTGAGAGTCACATGAGCGGCTCACACACCTGATGTGACTCTGCTGTGCAAGCTGCTTCTCTTTAGATGGGGATAGAAATATAGCATAGCATAGTTGTGATCATAGTCAAGTCAAATGGTTTGAAGAAAATGACTTCGTTTGAACATTTTAAAACTGGCATTAGAATGTATTTGGAAACAATATGTAAAAGAAAAAACTTGAAAGCAATATGAACTATGCAGCTGTTGAAGAAGTACAATATTTATTTTTCTTTCTATATATCACTGACATATTTGGTTATATGTTCATACAATATGCTTGGTTCACCTCAAACATTAACTGAAAACAAAGAAACAAAAAACAAATACATATATATATATATATAAATCACATATTATATATTCTTCAGAAATCAGTATAATATGCTGATCTGCTGCTCAAGAAA